AGCTGGCCCAGAAATAGAGGGCATTAACCAACCAGCCCACATGGGCATTATTTTTCTTTTAAATGCCGCTCACCAGGCTATTAATGTCTCAGATCCTGCTTTGGCCAGAGATAGCTGGCTCTGTCTCTGTCCTGGTTTCACTAAGCACACCACTGTTGGTATCAATGGCACTGGGGAAAAATGGTCAGACCCAACACATCCTCTTGGACCTTGTCCTGAAATCTGGAAAATGCTTCCTGCATCTTAGGTATTGGGCAAACCCCAATGTATCAGTTGCCTGGCTCCACATTTCTGTAATCCATACTTCTCCCTGTTGTGACCCCAAGAATACATATTTTGCCTGCTCAGATGGCTTTTTACAAATGTTTGCAGCCCACACATGTTAGCTTGTTGCTCTTCTTATGCTCACTCCTGACTTCTCTATTTTACCTCGTAACTTAGCCCTATATGCCACTGAAACAGCAGTCTCTAGGCTTACCTTTTGCTATTCCCCTCCTAGTTCCACTAGGAGTTTCCTCTGAAATCAGAATGGGGACAGTCAGATTAGGTGTAGCCCAAGACAGGTTCACACTGTCTCAACCAGTTGATACAGATATCACTGCAGTGGCCAAATCTGTTCAAGATATGCAGGATCAGGTTGATTCCTTAGCCTCATTGGTACTCCAAAACTGTAGGGGCCTGGACTTGCTAAAAGCCACCCATGGAGACCTATGCCTCTACCTTAATGAAGAATGTTCTTTCTAGGCCAATAATTCAGGCGTGGTTAATGAAACACTTGACCAGCTCCAGGGTAGAATCTGCACTTGAGAAAAGGACCAGATCAGAACTTCCTGGTGGGCTGGACCACAATCTCCTGCCCTGGCTCACTCTGCTTCTGGGGCCGCTAGCCTCCATTGTCCTGCTCCTGATTTTTGGTTCATGTCTTTAATTAGCCACTTGCTTCATTCAGTCCTGTCTAGAGTCTGTAAAAGAAAAAAAAAATTGAACATTGTTCAAAAATGAACAATGATTAAAAAATATATAAAAAATTAAAAATTATTTTAAAAAATATAAAAAATAAAACTTCAGATGCTTGTTAGACATTACCAGCCTGTAAACACTTTCCCCAGTGGAACTCCCTGACACAAAGCAGGGGTATCAAAAGGTGGGAGATGAATTAGTAAATGAAGACTGTCCTGCTGAAGTCAGGACTGAACCTGTAAACTAAAAGTTTTAGGGAAAAGGCTGATACCTCTGGCCAGGCCACATGCTTGATACATGCTTTCCCAGCTGATTGTACCCCTTGCTTTAAGCCAATAAATACCCTGCAACTTAGTTGCTCATGGCTCAGGGGAGAAGGATCTGAGCCCCAGTAAATAAAGAACTTCCCTTCTCTTCTCTGAGTGCTGCTTGGCTTCTTTTTTTTAAAGATTTATTCATTTATCTATACAAGCACTGGGTACAGTCAGAAGCACAGTAGGATGAGAGGATTCACCAGAGCCAGAGCAGGGAGCAGAACAGGCAGACTGATGAAATACACTGCTGAGGGGAGCAGCAGGTGGCGGGAGAGGTCTGCACACCATGTGGGACCCTTCCCTGGTGGCTGGGGATCGAACAGGTCCTGCAGAGGTTGCGGGCAGCCTCGCAACCCAGAGCTCAACCACTGTGCCAGGGGGCGAGAACAACACTACCGCTGCCTGCTGGGTTCTGGTGACAAGTGGGAATAAACTTTAGAGTGCATAATGGAAGAGAGTCATGTGAAGAAGGTGTGCTTGCTTCTTGGCCTTGGACTGGCACTGGGTATTTGAAGAGGCAAAGAAGGAAACACTGGAAAAAGACATGTGTGTCAGAGACCCATGAGCAGCCTGATGATGGCAGCCATTGTCTTGATTTTGATTTTGCTCCTTTTGTCCCAGACTTGCCTGGGCCCTTTTGCACCTTTCCTGTGTGTCACCGCCAGAAGGTGCCTTAGATTTCAACAAGGTTTTGGTCCTCAGTAGCCTTGCTTTTGACAACCTGTTTGGCTGGACATTTACACACGAGGAATGGGGTAACTTTGGGTGCCTGATTTGTAAACTATATTATTTCCCTCTCTTCTCTCTATTGCACATTAATTGCAATAAAGTTGTGTGCACTAGAGTATGTTTTGACTTAATGTCAAGGACGGAAGAACCTATTTAGAGCAGGCAGGTTTGGGATTCACAGGGTGTACCTCTTCCTGACCTGTAACAGAAGTAGGGTGAGTGCTGGGCTGGATGGGTTTTCTCTCCTCACTATTGAGAGTTGGGAAGAATAAAATTGTTTGGGGTTGCAGAAGTCTCTGGCCTGTGGATTGTAGGTATTCAGCAACAGCGCATTAGACACTGGTATCCCCAAGCGGAAAACAAAGATCTTGTTGAGAACCAATGCTGAATGTGAGTACTGACAGTATCCTCACAGAACTGCAATGAAGGTCCATCGCCTTGATGGATTTAACTTTGGGCAAATGACTAAACCCCACCAAGAACCATGTCTGTAATGGAGAATAGAGTTTGTAAATGACTTTCTCATGGAATGGATGTTCTTAAATTAAATCACAGATACCCTCGTGGATAAAATGACCTACATAATATATAATTGATAAACACTCTGATTATGGGCTTATTGTAGCTATTAATGTGACAGAAGTATGAAGCTCCTAATAATTTTAGCAAAGGGTCATGAAGCCTATGTATGAGTTCAGTGCCACGTTCTATTATCACAAGATCCCAGGTTGACAGCAATTGCCTGCATATGAAGGATGACAGAAAGTGTCTGCATACCAGGAATTATATTCCCAGTATGAGCCAAAGCTTTGAAGACATGAGGAACCTAATCCAGACCCAACCCTCAGTCTTGAACTTGGTTAGAAAATTTAAATCTGAAATCAGATAATGTACTAGAAATTTAGAAATCAGAAAAGGAGGAAAGTTCATAGGGGAGTGAAAAAATAGAATTTGTTTTCTAACCTGAACTCTTGAGAACAGGGAAACCTTTCATTGCTGTCCAGAACAATTTTCCACAGGGGAATTGTGTGCATAGATTTTGGAGTAATGAGGAAATGTGACTAATGAGCAGATGGAGTTGTAAACACATCATTTGACTCTTGGCATATATAAACTTGGGCTGGAAGGGGCATGCTTTTGTTGGGTGTATGTGTTTGTGAGGAGTCCTATTCCTGCATAGGAGACAGTTGGGTCACTCCTTCCGGCTGTCTCATCTGGGTACAAAGCTCTGGTCTTTATCACTTCTATCCAATAAGGAATTCATATCTCCACAGGAGACCCTCTCAGAGACCCAGTCCAGGTGAGCCCAGCAACTCACTTGATCCTCAGCAGAGAGAATTGAGCCCAGTTGTTGTCATTTGCCATTGTTGTAATTTACCAGATGTTGCAATTTTTCTTTACCCAATAGCAAGAGATGGCTGAGTTTGATCATCTGTTTGATTATATAATGAAAGTAATTATTTCAACGGCTGTGTAATATTTCATATTCAGGGTGGAATATGATGTTAATCGTTTTTGTGTTATTAAATTGTTATCACTCAATTGTTATTATAGAAATGTTCAGAAAATATGTGGATATTAAGTTCAAAGAGAGGTTCTAAGTGGGCAACTTTGTGCTCCAGAGACACAGAAATGTCCACAGACATTACAGGCTCACAGCAAGGGCATGGGGCACCAGGATGCTCCAAATATCTTACAATGCACTGGACAGACTTCACCACAGAAAGACCTGCCCAAATCTCACTCGTGCTGACACCCAGAAACAGGCCCATTTTCTCTTGGGTGTACAACTTCTAAGATATCTTTCTTAAATAGATCATAAAAGTACTACTGTATCTTACTTGGGAAAACATTTGTTTTTTATTCTGTTATCATTTTTGCTGGGTATCAAGGAAGTATAATCAGGGTAGAGAAGGCTGCAGAGCCCAGGCTCTGAGGGACACCTAGATTATTCAATCTTTTCCTTTTATTCACCTCTTTTCCCTTCTAGTCCCCCCTCCTCCCCTTTATCCTCTCTCTCCTCTTTCTTCTCCTTCCCCCCATTCAGGAGGATGTCTTTTGTTTTACTGATATTTTCTTTTGCTGTGCAGATGGCTTCACAATTTTTAACATGAATATGTGAAGCAAGCATCATCTTCAGGGACTATGCACTGGCTGTTCTCTCTGCTGGGCACACATGATGACATGTAATATTGAATCTCCCTCCCCTCTCTCAACTGAGGTCATTGTTCAAATGTGACATGTCCACAGATATCCAGGTTTTATCTAAATAGCCAAAAAAATCAAATCCTCTATTCATTCTCTATTTTATAATTGGTTTCCTATTCTTGGTCACAACAGTTACCATCTAAAATGTTATACAAATTTATTATTTGCTGATGTATTCCTTTTCCACCATTTAATTGGAAGTTTGTATTACAATGTCTTAGGTCATTGCCTAGAAAGTGACTAAATCACAGTCAGCATTCAATTTATTTATCTATCCCTGAAATAAGGATTTTGTTATTAAAACCACCTAATCCTACAGGTTAAAAATTTGACTTGGGAAAAAAATCTTTATCAAAAGTGTCACTGAGGAGCCCCTAAAGGAAATGATACAGAGAATATTATAATTAACTTCTTTTTAAAAAAGTTTTATTAATTTATTTATACAAGCACTGAGTCAGTCAGAAGTGTGGAAGGGTGAGAGAATTCACCAGAGCCAGAGCTGTGGTCAGGGCAGACAGACTGATGAAATACACTGCTGAGGAGAGCAGCGAGAGCAGCAGGAGAGGTCTATTACACCATGTGGGACCCTCGCTAGCGACCAGGGATCGAAACTGCGCTGCAGAGGCTGCAGGCAGCTTCACAGCACAGTGCTCAACTGCTGCACCACCAGGGGAGGCCTATAATTAACTTCTTAAACACAGATAAATGGAGACATTTCAGGTTGATTGGTAATATAAGTTTTTGAAAATAAGTCTTGTTTCCCTTTTTCCTGGAAGCTACCTGTACTACATGAAATCTGCCAATGATACACAAATTCCAGAATTTCTTCTGCTGAGATTTTCAGAGGAAGCAGAACAGCAGACCCTCATGTTAGGACTATTCCTCACCATGTACCTCATCACTGTGTTTGGAAACCTGCTCATCATCCTGGCTGTCAGCTCTGACTCCCACCTCCAGATGCCCATGTACTTCTTCCTCTCCAACCTGTCCTTTGGTGACATTTGTTTCACCACCACCACCATCCCTAAAATGCTGGTGAATATCCAGACACATAGCAAAGTCATTACCTATAAAGGTTGCATCACCCAAGTGTATTTTTCCATATTGTTTGCAGCATTGGATGTCTTCCTCCTGACCTCGATGGCCTATGACCGTTTTGTGGCCATCTGCCACCCCCTGCACTACATGGTCATCATGAACTCCCGCCTGTGTGGACTGCTTGTTCTGGTCTCCTGGATCCTCAGTGCTCTCTATTCCTTAATACAATGCTTAATGTTGTTACAGCTGTCCTTCTGTACAAATGTGGAAATCCCACACTATTTCTGTGAACTCAGTGAGGTGCTCAAACTGGCCTGTTCTGACACCTTTCTCAACAACATGGTGATATATTTTGAGTCTCTCTTACTTGGTGGTGGTTCCCTCTTTGGTATCCTTTACTCTTACTCTAAGATAGTTTCCTCCATACGTAGAATCTCTTCATCTCAGGGCAAGTATAAAGCGTTTTCCACCTGTGCATCTCACCTCTCAGTTGTCTCCTTATTTTACTGTTCAGCCCTGGGAGTGTACCTTAGCTCTGCTGCTCCCCAGAGCTCTCGTTCAAACACAATAGCCTCGGTGTTGTACAGTGTGGTCACACCCATGCTGAACCCCTTCATCTACAGTCTGAGGAACAAAGACATAAAGAAGGTCCTGACAACATTCATTGTCATGAGAACTACAAAAATATAATAGTCTCAGAGCTGAAGAAGCACCCAGAATTTTAGACATTGGAGACTAATAGTCAGAAATTGTATTTAATTGATCAAACAAAGAAGTAGAACTTGCTCACATGCTTTTCACATCATGAATTTCCTCTTGAACCTCAATTTCTCTATTTTCTTTATGTAACTCACTTTATTAAACTTTCAGCTCATTTTGATATGTAACATCTTTTCCCTTTGTGGTCTTCCTACTTTCCCAAATTTATTCCAATTTTAAACCAGAAAAAATTAGATATCCCCATTCACTTAATTAGACAACATGGATTTCTTAGAATAATGTCTCCCAATGTCATATAACATACCAAATATTTTTTTTTTGTTTGTTGTATTTAAAAGTCATCTAGTTCTGCTACATCTGTTGCAAACAAACTATGCCTGATGACCAAGGAAACTTATAGAAGTTCGTAACATAGGGAGTACTAAAACAAATCTTTTCACTTTTGAGAGTGTCACCCTTCTCTCTTCACTATTTAACCACACTCCTGACAACAACAATGGTAATATACATTGGGCTCCATAGCATGCTAGGTTTTATTCTCCTCCTTAGGATCCTGTTCTCCTTCAGCTCAGTGTATGCCAAGCCTCCTTTACTTTAGTCCAACATGATTACACACATTTGAGTCTTCACCAATACTCATTGTAATACATATATTGACATAATTTGATCTTAGAATCACAGATAATCTTAAACAGCTCTTTTTGAGTTGTTGGGCTATATCAACAACAAATTGCTCTTGAGACACCAGGCTCCGGGCCTCTGGTGCTCCTTTCAGGCAACATCAGACACAAGATGGGAGGACCAGGCTCTAAAAGAGGTCGTCAGCTAATTATCCTTCCTCAGAGAATTGTTGCTGCCTGATTCTTTCCTTCTTTCTTCTTTTAGCTTCTGGTCCTTCCTCTTTTTTCTTTGGAGGCTAGAATCACCTGACCCAGCTCCCTCTGACCCTGGTATATATCATCTTTCAGGGTGTACCTCCCACAGAATGATTGGACCATTTTTCTATGTACCATTTTTCTATCTTGTGGCTGATTGGACCATTTAGCACCAATCAGCTCATAGCTCAAACCTGATTGGTCTATTCCACAACCTGGAAGTATGCAGTTTCATAAAAGCACTCTGGGAAGCAACTGCCACAAGTGACAAAATGGTGGTTGCTGGCTCTGAGCAGCGACTGTCACAATGAAGTAGAAAATATACTGACCTGCAGCAGTCATGACTGAACTTGTAAAGTAAAAGTTTCAGGGAATGACTGATACCATTGGGAAGGCCATATGCTTGACACATGCTTTCCCATCTGATTGTACCCCTTGTTTTAGGTCAATAAATACCCTGTAACTTAATTGCTCATGGGCCAGACTTGGGAGAAGGATCTCTTCTGAGCCTGCCACTGTAAATAAAGTACTTTCACCCTCCTTTCTGGGTGTCATTTGGCTTCCTGACAGAGATGCTGCCACGACATTTTGGTTCCCTGACCAGGAAGCCGGCTGTGTTGGCCCAATGTGCCACTGGCCTGGAGTTGGGGCTGTGCCAACAACTCTCCCTGAAGAGAACGAGGTAGGCACCTCTGGTCTTGGTTTGGCAAGTCTTCCTTCCTAGGATGGGGATCAGCCGACCACCACAACCACATTCTGACCGCACTCTGGGGAGAGGGGGACCAGAGAGCTGGGGCCTACAGGACCTGGTAAGACCCCTGGAAGCCCAGCCCGAAGTAGGTCCATCCCAATAGACAGAAAGGGGAGCATATGGTCTCCCAGTGCCTGTTTTTTGGGATGAGTTAGGAACTCTTGTTGGAGGGAATGTAATAACCTCTGAATAACTGACTGGTTTTGATCGGGGTGTGTGTGTGTGTGAAAAATCTCCATGGCTGCAGTTAAGGAGACTGAGTGGGCTTGAAACTGCCGTTTTGTGGTGAACGTCATATAGCATAATGATGACTGGCCCACTTGTGGGACAGCCTGCCCTGGTGTTATGCAGGACACCTTCAGCCAATACATGCCTGTATGTTCTCGTGAGAGATGCAGCCAGACAAGCATATTTGTGTGCCCCCCCCCCCATTTCCTTTTGCAACACCAAACCTAATGGGTTGGAATCTGAGCAAACCTACAGTACTTGACTGCATTTTCAAAAATTTAAAAAGGGATTTCATGAGGATTATGGGGTTACTTTAACCCCCAAAAGTCTCTGAGTCCTATGCCAGGTAGAATGGCCTAGTTTTTAGGTAGACTAGCTTTCAGAAGGTACTCTAGACATCCCAACAGTTTGGGCAGTGTGGAAAGCTGTTACAGGTTCCCCAGGCCACCCTGATCAGTTTTCTTATATTGACTCTTGGTTAACAATTGGCCAGACTCAAACATCTGGATTCGTACTTGTAGGATTGACCAGGCTAAAGGTCAGGACTGTGTTGTATGTGGTCATTGCAGTTGGCAGACACCCTCGCCATCCATCTTTCAGGGCGACTCTCCGGAGGATGACTGTCCACCTCCTTACATCACTTCCAGCCCCCCTGCCCCATTGGCCCCACTACTAGCAGTGCACAACTTATTTCCAGCCTCTGATCCTTTTCTTTCTCTGGCACCTGACCCTCCTAGGCCTAAGACTCCAATTGCTCAGAGACTCCGATTGTCTCAGGCCCAGGCCCCATCCTTATAACTTCCTTTCCGGGAGACCTAAGGTCCCCCTGTCATTGGGGAGGATGGCTCTGTCCATGAGGGCACTCCAGTATTCTATCCCCAACCTTTCACCACATATATCCTCCTTAATTGGAAACATCACACTCCAGCCTGCTTAGAAAAACACCAAGCTCTCATAGAATTCTTTGAATCCCTCTGTCAGAAACATCGCCCCACTTGAGATGACTCTCATCAACTACTCCTCATCCTCTTTAACAATGAGGAGCTCTGGTGTATACTCACAGACACTAGATAATGGCTCCAATACCAGGCCCCAGCTAGTAGACTTTACCCTCTCCTGTGGGTTGCCCAAGCAGCCCATGCACCCTTCCCACCATCCCCCCAACCCAGCCCCTGCCTGGAGTGGAACTTCTGTGCTGCAGGTGAAAGAGCTGCGCTTTTGATGGGTATTAAGGTAGTGGTGAGGAAGCCCACTGACATGTTTAAAATTGCCTCTCTTATTCAAAAACCTGATGAGTCCTAGTGATTTTTATAAGCACTTTTGTGAGACCTTTAACATCTATACCCCTTTTGACCCAAAGTCAACAGATAATCAGCAAATGGTCAATGTGGCCTTTGTGGCTCAAACCACACCTGACAGGTGCCACAAACTCCAAAACTTGAGTGATTTGCCAGTGTGAATGTCACTCAATTGCTGGAAGTAGCTACTAGGTGTTTGTTAACCAAGACTGCAAGGCAGGTCAGCACATAAAACACAGGGTCTCTCCCTTTAGGGTGCATCTCTGGGCAAGCCTGCCCCAACTCACAGGGTGTGTCTACAACGTTGGGGTGGATCAACGTTTCCTCTTAAAGTTGATCAATGCACATTCTGCAAGCAAATGGGTCACTGGAAAAATGAAGGTCCAGCATGATTAGCCATGAGTATACTGATGAACCCCCATCAACCTGAAAGGGCCACACAGGGGCAGAAAATACAGCAAGAGCCTAGTGATGAGGGTGACTCTTCACTTGTTGGCTTGGCCATCTTAGACTCATAATTTAGACTCAAATAAAACATACTGGCTCAGTCAATCTTGATTCCTGGAAGCCCATGGTCACTGTCCAAGTTGGGGGCCAACCCATAAGCTTCATGCTTGACACTGGGGCAGAACATTCAGTTGTCAGCACTCCTGTTGCCTGTTTAGTGGGGAAACTACCATCATCATGTGAGAGACAGTTACCCAAACATCTAGACCATCCTGCTGTTCTCACACCTGTCAACTGGGAGCCCATCAAGTTGTCAATGAGTTTTTGTATGTGCCAAACTGTCCAATTCCCCTTTTAAGGTGAGATATGTTAACCAAACTTGGGACTCAAATTTGTTTCAGCCCTGACCCACAAGCTATTCTTTTATTCCCGGACTCAGAGGGTCTTATCCTGTCAGTCACACTATCCAGGGATTTAGAGTGGAAACTTCATGCTTAGGACCAAACTGAGTTTAACCCAGACTGGCCCGAACAATAATTCCCTGGTGTCTGGGCTGAAAACTCACCATCCGGCCTGGCCCTCAACCACACTCCAATTCATATAGACCTCAAGCCTGGTGCAATCCCTGTTAGACTGTGGCAGTGCCCAATCCCTCGGCAGGCTATACTAGGCATTTGGGAGCACATTGATAGATATAAAATTGTCAGCATCTTATTAGCGTGTCAGTCACCCTTTTCTGTCAAAAAGCTTGGAGTTGCTGTGTACCATGTTGTCCAAGATCTTAGAACAATCAATGCAGCAGCCATGATACTCCACCCAGTGGTCCCAACCCCATATATACTTTTGAGCTTTCTTCCTTCACAAATGCAATGGTTTACCTGTCTAGATCTTTTTTTTTTTTAGATTTATTTATTTATTTATACAAGCACTGGGTACAGTCAGAAGCGTGGGACGGTGAGAGAATTCACCAGAGCCAAAGCGGGGAGCTGAACGGGCAGAAGGACCGAAATACACTGCTGAGGGGAGCAGTGGGCGCAGCAGGAGAGGTCTGCATGCCATGTGGGTCCCACGCCGGCTGTGGGGGATCGAACTGGCGCTGCAGAGGCTGCGTGAAGCTTCGCAGCCCAGCACTCAACTGCTGCGCCAATGGGGAGGCCCATGTCTAGATCTTAAAGATGTTTTTCTTTTGTCTCTGCATTGTAACCAACAATCAGCCTCTCTTTGCATTTGAGTAGGAGGAACCTCAGACAAGCTGAGAAACTCAGCCTGGACAAGACCGTGTTAAGGGTTTAAAAATTCCCCCATTTTTGTTCAGGGAAGCCCTAACTGCAGATCTTGCTGCTTTCCCCAGTGAAGAGCTTCAATGCATGC